CACTGCGGGATGGCCTACCCCGAGTCTCGCAGGCGCCGAGCTTCCGTAATGTTCCGAACAAATCTGCGAAAAACGGACGTACTTTCTGCACGATCCCTAATGCGGTACGGTATAACCATAAAAGTGCGCGGGGTAACCAGCCGCCTCTACAAAATCGCTCTTTTATTCAACGACCAGATCAACTCTAACTCTTGATTGCTTGGCCCGCAGCCCATCCTCAACTCCAGCGTGCACATCGACAAGAGCCCGGACTACCGTTTTGTGGAGGCGTGGATCGGGAAGGGGCTCGTCACCAGCACAGGTGGGTACAACACGACAACACTAAGAACTGGCTCTTCAGGATCAGTGTGTCCTTTACGTGGAACACGCCCACTCCTCGCTTGGGACGCACAGCATCACAAGGCGAACTACATCCACCTCATGACGTCAAACGCCAAAAGGTTGTTGTGCGTCGTTAAAACTACAGAGGGACTGGGAAGGACGGGCGCGTGCAAGGCAGTGAGGCGCTGCAAGGACGGGAGCCCCGCTGTGCCTGCCTGCAGCGCGCACTCGTGCAACGAACTGCAGCGCCGTGACCTGCATATCGTGCCAGGGCCGTACAGTACAGAGGCGCATGGCAGGCGAAAATAAACAAAAACGAAAGTGCAGCGGCCGAGATCATCGATGGCGACGGGGAAAGTGTCCCGGGCGGTGCGCAAAAATAACCGCAACTGCTGAAAGAGATGGGGGGGGGGGTGAAAGGAGTGCAGCAGGGCACATGCAGTCCATCCGTCGGGCATACAGCACTTTCTCCTCCTCGACTGAGACATGCAACTCCGGGACACAAACAAACGAGTGGGTCATATATTTAGCCATCTTTCAAAAATTTCTCACTTTCTTTTCTGCTTTGCGGGGAAGAGATTCACTGTAAACCGTAGAGTGACCTTTCTTTCCCGAATAGAGCGACGTATAGGCTTCACCGCTCTGTTAGATCGATTTTTGCGAAATGACTCAACATGAGTCTTCTTCGTAACAGAAAATGTCGCAGAAACGACTCTAAACCAGCGATGCAAATGGAGTGATGTTGTGAATCCAATTTGACGACATTTTCGCCTATGTCTAGGCGCAAACGGCGTGTTTGCAGCCTCATTGATGAGGATCTATAGCAGAACTCTTCCAAGCACCCTCGGCCCTCGGCACCATACCCCCCGTATCTCCCACATGCACCCCTATTTTATTGTCATGACTCACGACAGCGGCTCTCTATCTTCAGGCGACAAGTGGCGCGCGCGGCGGAAGCTCTTGACGCCGTCCTTCCACTCCCGCGTCTTGGAGGAGTTCCTGCAGCCGCTGTACCGCGAGGCCCGCGTCCTGGCGGACAAGCTGGCGGCGCACTGCGGCGGGACGGCGTTTGACATTGTCCCCTACGCCAAGCTCGCTGCTCTCGACGTGATCTGCGGTGAGCATATCTTTTCTTTAGCAAAACAAAAAAAAAATTGAATGCAGTTTCAAATAATTACTGCAATGTGAGTTTATTCGATTCCGTCACAGACACTGCGCTTGGCAAGCACGTCGCCGCTCAACGCAACTCCAACAACGCTTACGTGGTGGCTATCGACAGGTGCGTGCTGCTGGGAGTCTCCGTCTTCGTTCGGTACAGCTCTCGATACTAACAACCGTTCGGGCCCCTCAGGATCACGTCCATCGTGCAGCGCCGGTTCATCACTCCCTGGCTCAAGCCCGACGCCCTCTTCAACCTCAGCGAGCTCGGTCGCACCCAGAAGAAGCACGTGAACGTCATTCACGGCTTCACTGGCAGGGTACGTACAAATGCACATTGTTGTAAGGGACGTCTGTATCTGTCTGCATGAGCGAGGGAGGGGGACTTTGCCCTCTGGAAGAGACAGTCTTGAGGACTGTCTAACTGCAACTTACGCAATGCATTGGGCGTTCGGTACAGGTTTTCGAGGCTCGCAAGCAGGAGAAGCAGCGCGAGTGGGAGAGAGAGCAGCTCGAAGCGCGGCAGGGACAGCAAGTGCAGTTCCAGGAGGACCAGCCGCATGCAGTGCCTGATGCCCGGTTCACAATTAAGCCACGTAAGTATTGAAGTATTGTCTGCTACACACATTTGCATCTTTTATGTGTACAAAGTTAACACGAACCTAACTCAGCACGAACGTTTACACAAAAACATACAAATACAGTTAAAGTGAACCGTCTCAGGCAGGGATACGACGCAACAGTGTTGCGGGTTTGCCTGCCTTAGCGGCCTAGCGGCTATGGCGCCTGTACCGGCTAATACTCCCCAGTGTTGCGGGTTTGCGTACGGGGCTATGGTGGCTTACGGGCAGATCGGGTAGGCAAACCCGCAACACTGTGGTGTATTGCCTGGGTTCTGGTTGAGCGATTAGGCAAACCCGCAAACTAAACTGTCGTGTCGTAGCCCTGACACGGTTGGCAGTGTGTTGGTGTGTCCGCTCCGCCCTGCCCATCCCCTCAGTCTCACGGCATCCCCTCTTTGGTTCGCAGGGAGGCGGCTCGCCCTTCTGGACCTCCTGCTGGACTTGGCACACCAGGGCGCCAACCTTACCGACGAGGACATCCGGGAGGAAGTCGACACCTTTACGTTTGCTGTAAGTGTGGATTAGAATAGACACTCGCCTAGAAGACGCGATAGAAGCCACCCATTATAGTGAAAGGGGTCATCGATTTATTTCACTGCTTTAAATAGAGATTTTCTTTAGAAATTTTAAAATTTCAGCTCCAATTGGAAGTCGGATAGGTCCGGCAATCTTGTATACAAGGTGAGGTGACATGTTTTGTGATTACAGGGACATGACACTACCGCTGCTGGGTTCAGTTGGTGCCTCTACGTCCTGGGCAAACATCCAGAAGTGCAGGCAAGTTCCTCTACCGGGGGAAGCCCCATATGCCCTGCGCTTGATGTGATCCTAGTGATCACCCGAGTTTTGATCAGTTTCGATCCGTGGCAACCCTAAACTCATCTGAGTTGTTCCTTTTCCCGTAGGAGCGCATCCTCGAAGAGTGGCGTGACGCTCGGCTGGAGGCCGGTGACGGCGAGATGACCGTCGGTGACCTGTCCCGGCTGGACTACCTGGAGCGCTGCATCAAGGAGGTGCTCCGCCTGTACCCCGTGGTGCCGATCATCGCGCGAGACATCCGCTCTCCCGTCACGGTGCTGGGCGAGCACCTCCCCGCCGGCTGCACGGTCCTGGTCAATGCCTACCTCCTGCACCGAGACGCTCGCTTCTTCCCGGAGCCCGAGCGCTTTGACCCGGACCGTTTCCTACCCGACAGCGACACACGCCGACATCCCTTCGCCTACGTCCCCTTCAGCGCCGGCTCCAGGAACTGCATTGGTGAGAAGGGTGATGCTAGAGAAATTGTGCTGACTTATATGAGGGCAACAAACTAATTTTTTTAAATTCCTTTTTTCTCTTTAGGTCAAAGGTTTGCAATGCTCGAACTGAAGGTTCTTCTGTTAACGGTTCTGGAACGGTTTCAAGTTTGCACTGCTGAGCCACAGAGACCTTTACGTTTAGTGGCTGAACTTGTTTTAAGTAATGTAGAAGGTATTAAAATTTCTTTATCTCATCGCTCTTAAAATATTTTAAATATGAGTGAGCGCTCATACAATGCAAAGTTGATTGATTACATTGGCCGCAAATCAGTATTGCTAGGTAGTAAAATGTTCTTTAAACACACATTTTTCAATTTACTTTCTTTTTATTAGAATTCTAATTACATGCTGAAGTAGAGGAAAGTCATAGCTTAGCTTGTGATCTGTAGTACGAGTAAATGTTGAGAGACTTCTTGTAAACCCTTCAG